GACTTCGACCTCGAGCTATTCTCAACAGAGTGGCAAAGCATTTGGCAGCAACGTCAAGACACTTGCAACATTTGTGGCAGATTTGGCCATTATGCTCGTGATTGCTGGAACAAAGACAAGGTTCGACGAGTTGATGATCAAGGAAATGAGTTCACAACAGCTACATCCCCAGATGCACACAGTGAGCCTGCCACAACACAACGTGTGAACCGCGTGGAGCACATCAACAACATCAATGACATTTCGATTGAGCGCACCAGTCACCAGTACAGCTGCACCTTCTTACTTCTTTGACCTGTCTTTTGACTCCTTCGAAGAAATGTCCAATGTTTGTGCAGTTTTTCAAGAGAGTGATGATTTGGCTTCATGTTCGATCACTTCAGATGCATCTTTGTCAGGGGATTTCGACCACTTCTTCCAGAAGACTATGCAGATGCCGTGCAGTGAGCCTGGAACTGAATGGTACACTCTTTCTTCACTTCAATGTTTGGATGATGAAGATCATTGCGAGAAGCTGTCATTTGACCTGTTTTCTTTGCATGAGTATGAGTGCGAGTCAGAGCGCTCTGGATTTCACTTTGCACGTAATGACCTGGAGTGGAAGCCCCAAGTACGAAGACATGTTCATTTTGAGGAGTGGTGCAGAGTTCTCACTGTTTCATCTGAAACTGTTTGTGCTCGAGTGGACACTTGCAATGAACTTCATGAGATTGTATTGGATTCAGGTTCAGATGCAACTTTGATCCCTTCAGGTTTGCAGCATTGTGGATGGCTTGCACCTGTTCAGGAGTCTCAACTACGTGACGCACAAGGTGGCCCTATCAGGACTCAAGGGGTTCGTGACATTGAGCTCATTTTTACTGGAGTTGATGGAGCAGAAGTTGTCATGCGAGAAAGATGTCATGTAAGTGACAAGATCGACATGCCTTTGATCTCATATGGCAAGTTGTTGAAGAATGGATGGAACATATCGAACGAATTGGATGGCAACTTTCTCTCACACAGCTGTGGAGCCCGGATCCCAGTGAGCTTCAAACACAATTCGCTGATAGTACATGGTCGAGTGAGAGCAATCCATCAGAGAGTCACTTGCATTCCAGTTGACATTCCTTCAACTTGGCGTTTCCTGCCTTTGGGATGGACCAGTACAGTGAAGGGTCAACCTCTTTGTATGTCGAGAGCCCAGATCCACGTTGACCCGGTGCCTGAGTATTCATTGACTGACTGGCCTTATCGTACCACACTTGTCTTTTGTGAACGAGACGGTCGGAACATGATTGAGTGCTGCGCCAAGTTAGACAAGATAGGCAATCGTTCAGCATTGATGGGAATAAAGTGGACATCAGCTTTGACTCTTCTCACCAAAGACATTTTGAGCGTTGAACAACTTGGACTAGGACTACGTGAACCAAGTCTTGTTGAAGAGCCGACGTCTTCTTCTTCCAAGTCTGAAACGCACCAAAATCGGAGCCCTGAGACAATGTCAAAACGCCCACTTGAGTGGAATGCAACATCAGAGCAGAAGGCCGCCAAGCATTCAACAGGCGGGGCGGCAGAGCATCCAGCAGGCGGGGCTTCAGAAGGAGACAAAACGATAGAAGAGAAAAGTGCAGAAGATCCTGTTTTGTTACAGCTTGACAAATCGGTGATCATCAATGGAGTGAATATCACAGAAACCTCAACAATCAAAGTGCTTCGAGCAGCATGCAAGTTTCTGCGCATTTCGGAGTCGGGATCAAAAGCCAAGTTGTGGCAAAGAATCATCAGCAAGTTGCAAACAGAGCAGATTTTGGCAAACCAAGAGATTGCAGCTCAGAGCTTAACAGATGCAATTCGAGTTCCAGTCTCAGCTCAATCAGTGGAAAGCCCTTCACCAGAGGTGATTGCTGCTCATAATTTGACACATACACCATATGCAAGTTGGTGTCCTGCTTGTTTGAGTGCCAACGGTAGACCTGATCAACACAAGGGGGGACGCTTCACATGTAGCACAGCGGTCAATGCCTTGTATCTCCTTCGACTTGTTTTACACAGGTCGTTCTACAGGAGATGATGGAGAAGCCGACCAGGACAAGCAAGTAGCATTAGCTGTTTTCGATTCTTTTTCGGGAGCAGTTCACTGCATTCCAGTTGGTAGCAAGAGTGAGACCAAGTATATGGCGAAGGAGATTTCTCGATTCATTTCCTTTTTGGGTCATGAGGACATCACGCTCCGTTGTGACAATGAGCCAACCATGATTGCAGTACAGAGGATGGTCAAAGCTTCGTATCGACATCGGTGTGTTGTAGAGAACCCAGCCATTCGTGATCATGCAGACAACAGTTGGGTTGAAGGAGCAGTGCATCGCATTAGACAAACAGCCAACGTGCTTTTGCATCATCTTCATGCCAAACTTGGGTTGGTTATCAAACCTTCTCATCCATTGTTCAGTTGGAGCTTGTTGCACAGCAGTTGGTTGATGAATCGTTTTGTGGTGCGTGGCAACACTACAGCATATGAACTCATCACTGGACACAACTATCATGGCAAACTCTGTGAATTTGGCAGTCCGGTTTATGCTTACATTGGTGATGTGATTAAACAAAAAGGTGATCCCCGCTGGACGAAAGCTTTGTTTCTGACCAAATCAAATGTGAACGACATGAACATTGTCTCCATCGGTGGTAACCTCAGATTGACACGAGCAGTGAAGATGATCAAATGTGATTGGAAAGAACATATGGCTTTGTATTCCTTGCTGCAAACTCCAACCTGGCAGATGGAAGGAACATTTGGAGCTCGTATGGAACTTACCAAGCCAATCAGGAACAAGAGTGGACCTCCCACAGCATTGCTTGCAGATGAGGCCGCAACAGATCCAGACTCACACCTCCCAAAATAGGTGAACAACTTGGGGAATTGAAAGACAAGCAACAGAAGGATCCTGAGGAGCTTGATCCTTTGGCAAATCAACCAGTGAGTCCTGCACCTAGTAGACCATTGCTTCCTGCAGCTTTCACACCGAACTTGGAACCTGTGGACACAGAAATGTCAGGTGCATCAACTCATCCAACTCCTGATTTGTTGGAGGAACCGGATGCAAAGCGGTTGAGAAGTCGCCGAGCAGAGGAGGATCTTCCCCATGAAGATGAAGAGCTGTTTGAACCTTTTATGAACTCTTCTTTGTTGGATTCTGCTGACTTGGAGGTGATTGGTTCAAGCAACTTTGATCAGGAGAACTACGATGTGTATGCGCAACATTTCCAGGAGAGCAGCTCAGAAGAGAAATGGGAAGTGGATTCATCTGAATTGTGGTATCCCTTTACGGAGTCAGAACCTCAGCTCAGTGAACAGCAGATGTCATACCTGGATGAGATTGCAGACAAAGTTGAAGTTCAGAGATTGAAAAACATGAATGTATTGCAGGATTCAGATGGATTTTCAGGAGAGCTAGACACCAGTCTCAGTGCGAAATTTGTGCGAACTTGGAGGAAAAAGACGCTGGATGGAGTTCCTATGTATCTCAGGAGAGCACGACTTTGTGCACGTGAGTTCAACTTCATGGAGTATAGGACTGATGTCTATTCACCATCTTCAACAACCAACGTAGTGAAGCTACTACCATGTTTGGCCATGAGCAATTCATTTGTGCCAGGTGGATGTCTTGGTTCATTGGACATCACAGATGCATATTTGCAGGTTCCACAACTTAAACCCAGAATTGTTCGAGTGCAAGGAACAGAGCTGTCCTTTGTCATCCTCAAGTGCCTTCCCGGACAACGGGATGCTGCCAAGTTGTGGTACTTGTTTTTCACCGATGCTTTGAAACGTTTGCTTGGCGCAACAGTCTGTTTAGAGCAACCTGCGTTGGTGAAATGTGGCAACAACGCAGTTCTTCTTTTGCACGTTGACGATGTTCTCTTTTATGGCAATGAGCAGTGGATATCCTCAGTGATGATTCCTGCCTTGAAGAGCGAGTTCAAGATGAGCTGCCAATATGTGCCAAGGCGAGATGGTGGAAGTTTTGAGTTCTTGAAACGTCTTCATGTGTTTGAACCAGGATATGCAAGTTTGAAGATTTTTCCTGAGCGCAAACATGCACGCGCACTCTTTGAACGCTTGAGCGAAATCAACGGACGACCACCACGAATCTCCAAAACACCTTCATCAGCAGCATGCGCGCCACACCTTGACAACACCTTGCTTGATGCCGATCGGGCTGCTGACTTTAGATCGCTCGTAGGTCTAGCAATGTATTTGAGCCAAGAACGATACGATCTACAACACAGTGTCAAAAGCCTAGCAAGCTATCTGAAGGAGCCCACACAAGGAGCATGGAAAGCACTGGAACGTCTGGTGGGATATGTCAAAGGCACTGAAGACATGTGTCTTTGCATGTGGCCAACTGTTTGTGGACAACAGTTCATGGAGAAGTACCATGAGATCAACCCGGATGTCAAAGAAACGATAGAAGTGTTTTCAGATGCTGATTGGAGTTCAACGGGTGACATGAAATCAACTTTCGGCATTCATTGCATCAATGGTCAAGTGATGTTTTCTTCATCCAGATCACAAAAGTGCATTAGTTTGAGCAGTACTGAAAGTGAATGGTATGCTCTTTCGTCAGCAACCAGTGATGCACTCTGTTTGAAGCACATCCTAGAGTTTTTTGTGTCCTGTAGATGCTTTGATTTGTCATGTGGACAATTCGGCCGTGAGAATGCTTTCTCAAAAGATGGGTGTGAGTCGTCTCAAGCACATCAAGGGACGACTGCTTTGGCTTCAGCAGAAAGTGTCTCAGCGTGAGATTGAGATCCGTTATGTGAACACACATGCCAACATAGCAGATTTGAATACTAAGACTCATGCACGAGATCGACATCTCTCACTTCTTTATATGCTTGGTTATGTTTGTGGAAAAGAGCGAGTTGGTGAATCAGCATTCCTTCGAAAGAATGCACAACTTGTGGTCAAACAGCAGTTGAAAGACATTTCGAGAGTGATTTGTGCATCCGACGAGTATCAGGACATGTACGGTCCAGGTGTTCGAACCACTAGCACACCAGCAATGAGCATGGCCAAGAAGGTCATGAGGATCATGGTGTTGAGCTCAGCCTTTCACTTCGCTTGTGGATTTGAATTTGAGCCCAGGTCAAATCATTTGATCGATGAGAGTTTTCCTGCCCTGGTTTGTGCAATTTCCTTGTTTGTGCTGCTTGGCGTGATGCGAGTGCAGAAGGATCGCCACAAACGCCGAGAAAGCACATGATTGCACTTAGCCTTGTAGCAATGTGCCTTCAGGGATGTGAATCGTTCGAAGCCTTGAGCCCAGCACATGTGTTTTCATTCATCGTGAGCTTCATGTGCATCCTATTTGGAATATGGCTATGTGTGAATTGCAGAGCTGTGAGTTCCTGGATGTGCGGACTTTTCTTTGGAGCGAAAGATGTGATCACGAAAGATAACTATGTGCAGACAGAAGGGGAATTCTTTTCAGAGCCGGAATTGACCCGACACGTTGAATTGGCTTTGCAAATGCAAGACGCTCTCAGAGGACACAACAGTGAATCTGATGATGGAGTGGGAAGTACTATCTCACAATCCGAAGATCCTGATCGATTTGTGCGTGAAAACTATCCAGCTTTTCCCACTTTGGGTGATGCTACAGAGATCATGCCTGAAGCGCCAGGTGTGATGTGGGTGACATTGCAAGGAGCTTTTGATGGTGGACATCGAGATCGCTATCGATGCTTCTGCGAAGGGTTTTCTCATTTGGCTCAATCCGGTGAGAGCTACTTCGAGCTACGTGGACAAACTTTGCTTTCTTTCACCAATCCAGTCGTTGGATCACAAAGAGAGATTGCAAATATTCCTCGATCCTCAGTACGTGGTGTTGCTGATGATACAGATGCAATCGATCCTGTGTCAGAAGCCGATGAAGAGGATGCTGAGAATCAGGCAAGTTTGAGAAGACGCTTTCCTTCAACTTCAGCTGCTGCACCTAGTTCTTCGAATGGTGTACCAGATCATTGGTTGGAGGAACGACTTTTGTTGGCGAGTCGACGAGCTAGAGCCCTTCCAGGAGATGAGCCAGATTCAAGTGACGATGATGCTTTGATGTACACGCCGTGATCTTTGCTATAAGGCTGGTAGCCTTGAGAGAAAAGCAAGTGATCTTTGCTATGAGGCCTGTGGCCTTGCGAGAATGGAGAGTGACTTTGCTAAAAGGCTTAAGGCCTTGCGAAAAGAGTGAGTGAAAGAAGAAAGTGAGAGTGGCAAGAGTTTCACTTCAACATGTTTGGAACACGAGTTTCTAAATATGTGCACCCAGTTCATGGATGTCGCAGACATAGCTTGATTGGGTGATTGCAGTGAGTACATCCTCACATATATCTCCTTACCACAGGTGAGTTGTAGTGTTCCAAGAGCGGTAGCTTCCTTCATGCTACAGCAGTTGCTTCGACGGCCTTTTCCCATGGCTTTTTTCACGAAACAGTGTCGAGGCAGTAGAACTAGAAACCACGTCTGAGAAAGGCACACAAAGTTCCACAGGCAGAGAAGAGGAAACACCGACTAAGGATCCAGAGACAACGGGGGATGCGGAAGGCATCGTAATTTTAGTGAGTGAAGAGGACGAAGCCAGCCCCTTGCCTCTGCCAGCAAATCAAGACGCTGACGCATGTGTCCCTTCCCCCTCTTCCCTTCCCACAGCCAGCAATGACATGCGAACAAAGGAGCGAATAGAAACATCTCCCACTGAAGAGAAAGGAGGTGTGAAGAGACTGGCCACCACCTTGCAAACCACACAGACAAGCGAGATGGCACCACTGCAAGTAAAGCCGCCAGATGTAGTCATGAATAAAGAAGGCGACTGCCCAAGCAGCTGTCCTTCCAATGTGGCTGACTGGCCCAGTGCACCTGCAGACACAAGAGGTAGAAGAAGGAGATGCAAACAAGAACCACCCAAAAGCACCTCGGCTCCCCCGACCGGGGTCGAACCAGTTGAGCGCTCACCGGACAATGGGCAGCCGGAACAGGAAGAGCAACCTACCCCACCGGATGCATGGAGAGTTGCACGGAGGCTGCTCACAAGCCGAGTGCAATGAAATCCAAAGAGCCAACCCATACTCCTTGCTCCAGGACGCCTTACAAGCATCCCGGAACAGGATACACCCAGCACTGGCTGTCGAGTAGAGCCTTGGGCTCTGCCTCGAACTAAGGAAGCCACAGGGCGGGGCATCACCCCGCCTGGGATGCCATGAGGGCTCTGACTGGGCCCTCCTATGGATGACTATCTATCCCCCTTGGACCCAAACGTACGGAATAGGGAAGCATCCTGCCCCCTGTGGTTTCGTTTCTATGATTTGTTGGTTCGTTGGCTGTCCTTGCTATGCGTGTTTCGGTTCTTGCGACCTGTGCTCTAGTCTATTTAATCTCATCCCTGACCTGGCACATCCCTGCTGCGTTTGTTTCATGCATGTCAGATACGAACTGCTTGAGCTCGAGTGTCTCACAACCATTCTGTCCTTTTGGTGCGCCCTGCTGTTTGGGCTCGAAGGGAGTGAGATCCTAGCCAGCTCCTAGCCAGTAGTGGTGCCCATCCATCCGACCTGTTCCAATGGCCCTTCCGTTCATTGTCGGCCCGCACCAATGCTCTCTCACTCATGGGCCAGAAGGTCGCCCCCAAGTGGAGGTCACCTTTCGAATGCGGTTGCCCACTGCAGAGTTTATTGATGCGCTTACTGTCGCTTGCGGAGCAACGTCTTTTGTTCCAACAGACAAGTCTGCCCGCCACGAAGGCCACACCTGCCCCAGTCAGCGCATGGTCTCCGGTGGGCAGTGGTGGAAGCATGAACAAAGGCACAACAAGCACAGGCGGGTGACGCGGGCTCCCACCACAAGGACACAAAGCGCCAAGCTCCTAGCACACGCAAACCGGCACACAAAGCGGCTCCCAGATGTGGACCCAACACATGCGAAGCTGCTCGCCACGCTCTCGCGCGCAGTAGCTGTCCCAGAAGCGGCTGCTCCCAAGCCGAAGGTGGTCCGGACACCTCCGGACACTTCCAGCTACGAAGGAACACGACATAGTACCAGCACCGAGCCTCAGGATGCTCACTTTAGCAGGCAGGCTGACAGCAGCGCTGCGCCTACGCAACACCGACCTCCCGGCGGAAACATACAAAGCAATCCAGGAGAGGATCACGCAATGGGCTTTCGCCCTCCCCCTCGACCTTTTGCGCATCCGCAGAAATGTCCGGTTCAGTGAGCTCATCATTGAGAGCTTCCACCTCCGGTGAAAAGCAATCTTTGATCGTCACCAGAAGGCAAGGTTTGCTGATAGCGGATTGCAGGGATTCCAGTTTGGAAGCATAGGGCTCTATCATGGAAGCACTCGACATGGCAGGATCACACAACACGGAGGGATCACAAAGACACACGCACACCAAAGGGCTGGTGGGGTAGGGCGCCACCTTGTTGGACGTGGCGCCCCACCACCCTGGGAGCCCGTGTTCCCTCAGCTCAGGGCTTTTGGGGCGGAGAGCTCTGTAATATCTGTTCATATCAACAGTTCACTTGCATCTCCGCGCCTGTATCTCGACACCAGTATCTCCACACATGTGTCCGAACACCTGGATCTCAATGCCTGTCTCTGCACACCTGTGTTTCACCTGCATTTTTGCACCTTGATGATGATTGTGCTGCTGCTGCTGCTGATGATGATGATGATGGTGATGATGACGATGATGTTGATGATGTTGATGTTGCGGGTGTGATGTTGGTGTGTTATAGCAGCTTATATCAACCACCTGCATTTTTACACATTGATGATGATGATGATGAGGATGAGGATGATGATGATGATGATGATGATGGTGATGATGATGATGATGATGATGATGATGATGATGATGTAGGTGTGTTGTAACAATTACATCCATCGCCTGCACCCTTACATCTTTATGATGATGATGGTGATGATGATTGCGATGTGATGACAATCATGGTTGTCATGATCATGATGATGGTTGGACAGATGCAGTTGGCAGCCGATCCTCAGGAAGAACCCTTCGTTTTTGCAGGCAAATGCGGCGGTGATGTAGTTCCCACATACTTGTGGTTATGTAATGTATTCGCATGTATTCGCTCAATTCATTCGGCATCATGGAAAACAACCGGGCTGTCGTGACTGTAGTTTTGCCAAAACAAGTTGCAGCAAATATTTTTGCACTTGGCACTTCAAAACTTGGTTTGACGCAACGAAGTTGAACGTTTCGCATTTAAAACGGAACCAAGGTTGTGTTTCTTGCAAGAAGTGTTTGCTCCTGCGTGTTCCCTTGACGGGGAGTTGGCCAAAGGAATGTCAACATTTTGCTGGTGGAAAAACTAGTTTACAATTTACAATTGTTGAAGTCAGTGGAAACACCTCACACATCATCACATCATTTTTGTCTATTATTGCAACGCAGTTTCTACCGCAGACCGTTTCGGCTGGTTGGCTCAACCCACAGTTAGGGTTGTTGTTTCAAGACATGAAATCCACGAGGATGGAAGTCAATGTACTTCGACTGACCTTATTTGCACATTGGTCCTTTGTGGTTTCGCAGGCCTTCTCCGATCAGACGTGTGCCGATGCAACTCACGATGCCTTTAGTTCCTTGCAGTTCACGTCCAAACAGGACACACGCAAGGACGGCAACAAGTTGATCATGGGAGACATTTTCCACTTCATAGACAATCCTTTCAAACCCGAGAAGAGTCAGTGCAAGCAAGCATCAGCCGACGAGTGTAAAGTCACTGACAGCTGCTGTATGGGTGCGGAGTACATTCCGAACGGTGGCCTGTTGGTGGATTCCACGGGACATGTTCTTGCAGTTGGGAAATTGGACGATGTCGTGCAAGTTGCTAGAGGTCTACCTGGTGTGGACACTTTGCCTGGTTTTTCTTTTCAGTCGACTCTGTCATGTTGGAAGCCTTCCCCCCCAAACAAGGTGGGTCACAAAATCATGGTTGGTGCAAATCCTCGAGCCGACCATTTTGTTGCGTAGCTTGTTCAGAATACTCACCACCCGAACCGTCTTTGCTTTCTCCGCCCACACTGACTGATTGCACTCAGGAAATGATCAACAAACTTGGGAAGCTCATCATGCCCGGCTTCTTCGACTTACATGTTCACCTCCCTCAGTTATCGATGACCGCCTCCGCCGGCTATTCCCTGCTCCCCTGGCTCGGGCAGTTCGTGTACGAGACCGAAGCGCAGTTCGCCAACGAGACCGTGGCCCGGTACCGGGGAGAGGAGTTCCTGGATGCGTTGATCGCGGCGGGAACCACCACGGCTGCCATCTACATGACCATCCACAAGAAACCCGGTGTTGACTTAGAGGGATGCCTCATTTTTTTTCCTCAGGAAAGGCATTTTTGGAGGTTTGTACAAGGACTGTTACGAAATTATTGTTTTCAGATTCCTAGTAAAACAATCTTCGCAGGAAAGCGGTTGAGTTGGTCCATGCCCTTGCCACTGAAAAGGATGAGAATCCTCATTGGAAAGGTTGGCATGGATCGATGTCGATACAGCTCCTTTTATCCTGGCAAGACAGATCCTCCTCTTTGTGACACGGCCGAAGACTTCTACCTCGAATCGGCCCAGCTGATCGAGATGTTCCGCGAAAAGCAGCAGGATCCAAAAGTGAAATCCAGAGCCTTGAGACAAGTGACAAGTGACCATGTTCCTTCTATAGCACTTTTGTTTGCTCGTGGATTTCGACAAAATCCAGAGAGTTGCAGGGCTTTCATCGATTCACCAGTAGTAGTACTGTATATTTTGAGTCTCACAGTATGTATTTGTCTTGCACGAAGAATGTCCTGCGGAACCTCCAACTCCCAAAGCTGCATGTTCTGGAACTATGATTCTTCATCGGTCTGTAGATAGACACACGTATTGAATTTTGAGATACTTTTAGGGGGTCCCAGTGTGAGAATCTCTGGACACCTGTATTGCTGAAAAGCAAGAAGGAAGACCCGCAGCATTTCTTTGGCTTTTGTTCACGCTGAGGAGTCATGTACGTGGTTGCCCCACGCTATGCTCCCAGCAGCACTCCAGAACAGCTGGCAGCCGCCGGAAAGTTGCTGAAGCGCTATCCGGAGGTTTACTTTCAAACCCATCTGAGCGAAGCTTTTTCACCCGGTTTTCGGGATTTCTTTTGTTTTCGGGGCAGTTTCGTTTTCCGTTTTAGGATGAGCACCGATGAGGCGTTTTTTGACGTCTCCACCGTATTTTTTGGAAGAGGAGTCTCTACGATTCGTCTTGTTTGTTGTTCCATGCGCCCGGTGGTTGTTACATTTGAGATGTGTTTTATCACTATGTTGGTGCAGAACGATGAACTAAAGCTGAGGAAAACTATGATGAAATTGCTTTGGTGAGGACGATGTACGGGCACTTGACTCCGGCCGGGAAGACGGATCGCATGAACGGTCGTACCTGGAAGTCTATGATCACTTCGGGCTGGTGACGAACCGGTCGATCTTTGGGCATGTGATCCACTTGTCCCAGGAGGAGCGCCCGAACGCAACCACACAGCCACGCCAGCGGCACTCACCCACGGGTCGAAGGTGGACTTCTTTTTTGCTCTGATACAAGATTGATCCATTCCAGAGGTAGGGTATGCTACAAAAACCTATTCCAGATGCATTCCCCAGGCCACATACAAATCACTCACACCGCCGTCCCCGTTGCACTTCACAGCACAGCTGGGACATCCTGTGGCCACTTCTTCACACGCCAGGACTGGGACTTGATGGGTCGCAAGGGCGGCATCGCAGCGCACTGTCCCACTTCGCCCCTCGCCGCAAGCGACTCCGGCGCGCGAGAGGCACGAGGCGCGAGGCGAAGCGACGATGCGGGTGACGCGACCGGGACTGGACTGCGACGCAGGCGAAGAACGCTCGGATGCATCCGAGGATATAGAGGCCTCCCTACACTCTGGTGCTTCCTATGTCTTCCAATATATGCAGTGGTTTTGTTTGAGATACAGGGAACCCCTGGCAGGGCCCCTGCAAGCCTTGTTCATCAAGGTAGAAAGAAAGGTCCTAGTCTGTTTGCACAAATGATCTCGTTTCCAGGCAGGGTTCTTCTATCAATCCTTTGTGTGTTGGCCCTGTCGTCCTTGGATGAGTGTGCAACAATATTACCACCTGGCCATTGGATCGACATTTGCTTTGCTGTATCTACTAAACAACTCGCAAACCATGAATTCCCTTCACCTTTGAGGAACCTCTTCCTGGGCAGTGGCCTCTTCAACTTCCGTGCAGCCAATGCATCTGGAGCTCCCTTTGCGATTGGCAGTGATGTGGGAGCTGGGACTTCCCTCAGTAGCTTCCGAACCATGAATGAAGCCTACAAGGCGCACCGTTTCAGACGTTCCGGGACCGAAGTGGTCTCATCGTTTGGACTGCTACCGGATTTGACCCGTGAGCTGGTACCCCTCCGGTGAGCGAACAGGGAGGGAACAGGTTGTAACGAGGAAACTCTTGATGACATTTCAACCATTTTCAAGCCGAAGAGGTCTTTTATGGTCTTTACAATCCATGGGAATGGGGGAGATCCATGGGAATGGGGAGAGTTTGATGAATGGGGGGAGCCTACCGAATGCGAATGTCGCGACTAGAGGTCGCGACGACCCGGTGGGTGCTTTTTCGAGGTCTCGATCTTGGGATCCACGTGGCTGTCATCGCTGCAACCTCATGGTCAGTTCCTGTTTGACAGGGTCCAAATGGACGCTGGACCCTTTGATGTTCTCTGTCCTCCAGCACATGACAAGACCGGAAGTGGAGGACATCAGAGATTCGAAGTTTGGTTACCTTTTTCTTCTATTTGCTGGCTTGCAGACCCGGTTATCCAAGCAGCGTTGGATGCGAGTTGTCGTTTTTTGCGGAGCGGAGTCAGGACACTGGCCGATCGACGAGAAGCCGCGTGGGCCATATGTGGAAGGCAAGGATAGCTCGTACTACAAGTCGCATAAGAATGGCTGCTGTGCCTGCGACGAAGTGGATTATTCCAGAGTTGGGAAATGGACCATGCCGGCTCCTGAAGGTGCCAATGGACGTGTTTTGACCAGTGAGTTTTTTCCACTGAAAATGACCGGTGTTGGTTTCATTTTCACGCGGCTTCATTGTTCTAATGAGCTCATTCTGATGCCTTGATCCGAGAATATTCGAGTTCATACCTTTCAGGGAATTGGTGCCTTTTTTTGCTTTGCAGCCCAGCTTTGGAAAGGCGCCGTTCAACCCAACAACATCACTCTCACACCTGCCATGAACTATTACATGGCGACGCTGGGTGGTGCCCGCGCCCTCGGTCTGCAGGACAAGGTGGGTTCCTTCTTCAAGGGCAGCGAAGCTGACATCGTGGTGATCGATCCTAAAGGGACGAGCTATTTGGATTTCAGGCTCAACCACTTGTTATCCGCTGACATGTGGTCGCAGTTCTGGGAGTCCGCCGGAGCCATCATGATCTTGGGTAGTCCTGATGTGGTGGAGGAGACCTACATCATGGGTGTACCACGCAAAAAGGCTTGGTGAAGAGATTGGCCAGATGAATCGCTTTGTCTAGTGTGTTCGTGATTTGGTGGTCATCACCTGATCCCTTGCAATGTTTTGGTGACGTCTGGGAACCAGGTAGCTTCTGCAGGCCCCGGTGAAGGGGTCACTTTCAAATCCGGACAGTCTTGTACCATAGCTTGGCAGGGAAGCAGAGTGAACTTCAAAAGCATGTTCTCTCTTTCTTTCCAGCCACTTTTTCAGGGCTCCTGTCGTCCCAACTCTTGAACTGGCCATATAAAGAACAAGGATATTTGTATGCGGAATGTTTGGATCAACTGGCGAGTTAACCAAGTGTAGACTACAGCACATGAACTAGACTGGTATTGTCAACACAGCAGACTGCTCCTGAAGTCAACGGCAGGAGATGGCTGTTCGGCAGTTTCTGGCCACTAAGCCACATGGGCTTTTCACCCTCATGTTTGACTTACAGTTCGCCGCCATTTTTGGACATCATTGGCGGTCCATGGGGT